TCACACATTCATTAACGCCGTTTGATGAAATTGACGGAAAGGATTTATTTGCATCAAATTAACAAAAATAAGGACCCAATTGAGACGCCAAAAAATAAAGGGACCTATTTCAAATTCTGAACAAAAATAGGGACCTATTGAGACATTAAACCTTAAAAAAATTTATTTCCTTAGGCAATCTACTCAAATTTATTTTCTTTTGCTAATTTATTCTAATACAGTTATATTTTGGTCTAAGAGAATAATTAGGATCGAAATCAATTATGAACATATTTAGTATAGTAAAATTATTATTTCAAGTTTTATTTTGCATAATCTTTTATATAAAATCTAACTTTTTGTTATATTAGTAGAAATTTAATCATCTTAAGATAATTCTTATTTTCAAAAGGATATATATATAATAAATCTAATATATCAAAACGTACTACTTTTTTTTTTTTTACATTAACCCATTCTTCATTGAAATTATTAAAATATTGAGAAAGTAAACTGATCTTCTTGTGCTTTCAAAACCAAATTAAACCCATTTTGTGGACCCTAACAGGTTGAGTGAATGGAGAGACAATGGTGTTAGGAAAACAATAACTCCACATAAAAGCACATTTATTATTTTCAAATGGACCAATTCAAAGTAATTTGGTAAATGATCGGAGTGAAACTACTTTTATTTAAATGGGTTAAGACAAAAAGTTATTGGAATGATATTAGAAAAAAAAATCAAATCAAATTCATAATTATCTAAATTTATATTAATTTAATTTTATTTAAGTGAATTTATTTTAAATAGAAATTTATATTTTTTTTTAATTTTAAATTCAGTCTATTTGATTTGATTGAATATTGAAAACAAGATTTTAATCCCACAAAATATTGATAAAATTTGAATAAATTAACTAATTTAATACAATATAGCTAATCTGTCTCTAATATCATAAAAGCATAATTATAAATATGTACTCATTATTAAACATTATTATCTCTAAAAGTAAATAAAAGAGGTTTGTTTTACAATATATTAATAATTATAAAACAAAAGAATGATAAAATAAATTGGAACAAAATAATAAAAATTTAAATAATTAATTTTTTAGTAATTAGAAAACAAAAACATGATAAATAAATTGAAACAAAATAATGCAAATTTAAATAACTATAATTTTTTTAAACATTTTTTAAAATTATAAAACAAAAGAGTAATAAATAAATCGAAACAAAATAATAAAAAATTAAAAAATTAAATTTATTAAAATAAAGAAAACTTGAGTGCTTTAAATAATTTAAAATAAAAATATATTAATTTATAATGATTACGAAAAATTGGATAAAATTACATAAGTGAATGGAAATACTAAGTTGTAAAATGTTAAATTAAATTAAAACTAAGAACTATAAATAGATGAAGATGGTTATGAGTATTTGAAACTCAATGATGAGAAAAAATTGAATGCATATATAACTAACTTTGGAAATGCTAACCAAAAAGTGAATGTAATATTAAATAAAAAAACAAATGAATTATATGCCAATTATAGAATGATTGAAATATATTAAAGATGATAGGAAAGAAATGAATATAAAAGTGATGTATGAGTTAATATGTGAGTGAATATAATAAAATTAAAATTATGGATGCAATTGTGAAATAAAAGGCAAGCAAATACAAATAAAAGGAAGTACTAAGTTTAAATAAAATGGCTAAACAAGTAGTTAAAAAAATTAGATTGAGGGCATAAATGAATAAAACAATTTAGATAATATAAAACTAGAAGATTGAATAGAAAATGTGAAATATATTAACAAGAGAACTAAGTGAGAATGTGCAGAGACACCTTGTTACTTGACTCAAACTAACAATACACCTCTAAATTATATTGAAGAAAAAAATAAGGAAAAAAGAAGTGAGGTTTTTTTTGTCCGATACACTGTTTTTTTCTTCTAAGTCTTTATATATATATATAAGAGATTGGTTAGGAGTATTATTATAAAAACAAATTTTGAAATTAATTACAATGAAATAAAATTAATTGGAATAATTATGTTTTTTTCTAATTTGAATAATCCACAAAATATATTACATTTAATTCTTGAACTTTTATTGGTCTTTAGCTAAATTGGTTTCTAGTAATTAAGTTGATTGATTTACAATTTTCATAAACTAAATCAAGGACGAGTCAAATATGTCTTAGATAAAGTCAAACTGAATTAACATGAGTTCAAATTGATTTGAGTAAACTTAGGTTTTACTTAATCCAACATGAGACAAGCTCACATTCACTTATTTGGGACAAGTTCACGTTCATCCTATGTTAGGACATATCACAACAATTAAGTTAGGATAGACTTAGGTTAACCAAAACTTATGTTTTTTTTATATGTAAATTGAACATGTACTATATGGCGATACAAATCTATAGAGCGGTTGGCCACAGCTACAATCATGAGAAGGGACGATCGACATGAATGAGCTATGGTCAACATTGTCAAGGTACCATACGTAGTTGATCGCATGACCATGGAAATGGGAGACAAAGAGGTTGGACAACCCCCAACAATAGGAACACTTAAACATTGTTCCTAATCAAGATTACTGGTAAGAATTACTTAGTTGGAAATGGGTCATCATTGGGCCGTAATTAGGATTTCACTAATTACAAATTCATCTCGAAACCTATAAATAAAGGTCGAAGGTGAGAAAGTAAGTTATTGCATTTATTAAGAGTTTTAAGATTGTACTGTGACCTTGATCAGATTAATTACTTGAATAGAGAAAGATTGAAACAAAGAGTGAAAAGTGTTAAAAACGATCTAAATTAACTTAAAAGAAAATATGAAAAAGTATTTATGAAAATTATCGATCCTATATCAGAATCAGAACACGCATCAAAATTTATAACAAAATGATCACATTAGTTAAATAGAAAAAGAAAAAATAGTTTTTATGTAGAATAAGGATTATCACAACAACACAAATAATTATAAATACAGACTAGATAAAATTGTAAAAACTTGTACATCGAAAAATAGTTATGAAGATTTCTTATATCGTATTGTAATTATTGCAGTGACCTCTTTCACTATAACTTATCAAGATGTAAACGTAATGCTTTTAAAATTTAGAGTATATATAGTAACAATCGGTTACATTGCACATTTTGGTAAAATGCACAAGACAATTATTACAAAAAATTATATAATTAGTATTACGAGACAAAAAAAAATTATTTAATAAATTTAGATATAATTAAGTTTAATTCTTTATTTTTTTAAAATGCTATTTATTTTTATCTTTGAGTTTAACCATCATTTTTCGGAGAGTAATTTAAGAAAACTTGTCTTTTTAGTAACTTAGTTCTTATTTTTAAGTTTATTATAATTCATTTTGGTTATTATATACTTTATCAATTGAATTTTAATTAATTTATTAATTTGGTCATTTATCATAAATTGATATTAAAATTTCTTTTATAGACGAATTTTAGCTTTTTTCTTTTATTTTTTTCTAACGTTTCTTCCCTTTCTCCCATTTCTCATCACATTTTTTCACTTTCCTCACATCACTTTCCCTCCAAATCTTGATAAACTCTAGCTTGTTTTTTTATCTTCATAAATTTAAAACTCTAACTTTTTCAAAATGTCTTCTTTAAACATAATTTGTTTAGAATGTTTCTTTTGATTTTGTTATTTAAGGAGTCCTAAAATGTTATGGGTACGTAATAGCTTGATAACTTTGTTTAGGTGTCTGAAATTTGGTTTTGTAGAAACTTAGAACTGGTGAGAAATGAAGGGAAAAGGAAAAAGGTAGAACGCGAAAGAAAAAAAACACTATAAGATCCTAAAATAAAAAATGATCTAAATTTTAACATTTAGTACTCCTAGTCTATCTCAACACTAAATAAATCAAATTAGTTTTATTTAATAAATATTAAAAGTCAATTAATAAAAAATATATAACAGTAAAATTATTAATGATCCTAAAAAAAGATATTGCATAAAAAATATTAAATAACCTTAAGTATTAAATGATAAGTTAGTATCACTCCAAAAAAAAGAAGTGGCTTAAACTTTAAAACTCAATTTTGCCACATCACTGATCCCGCATCATGTATATATTGGGTTGAACAAACGTGCAGAGAATCTATAGTGCAGAATATGATGCGCATGTCATAGGCAAACAAGACTAAAAATAGTTACAACAAAATGGAATTGCTCATTAAGATTCTCTCTGCGCTAATAATATTGTTCTCCGGAGGACCCATACTTGAAGTTAGGCCCGTGGCAGTGACGGCTCTCCCACTCCGCACGGATTCTCGATGGATCGTGGGCCAAGATGGCCGAAGGGTAAAGCTGGCCTGTGTGAATTGGGTTTCCCACGTGGAAGCTGTGGTGGCAGAAGGGCTCAGCAAAAAGCCCGTCGATGACATTTCCAAGGGAATAAAGTCCATGGGCTTCAACTGTGTCAGGCTCACTTGGCCCATAGTTTTGGTGACAAACGACTCTCTGGCTTCTCTCACCGTTAGACGCTCCTTTCAGAACCTCGGCCTCCTTGAATCCATCGCCGGTGTCCAAACCAACAACCCTTCCATCATTGACCTTCCGCTCATCCAAGCTTTTCAGGTAAAATTTTTCAATTTTTTATTATTCCATTATTTTTTCTTAACGTAACCACTTTCTTCACTATTCTGGATCGCTCACAGTCCTTATCTTGTTGGCTGTCGATCTTATCAGAAATTTTGTCTCGGCGCTTATTTGGTGGCGATTGACTGATGAAGGTTTTTTGATAATTAAGTAGCTACCTCCAACTAACTTCCTTAGTAATTGCCTTCTACGTTGCGACAGATTCTTCAATACAATATGCTTTTTGTTTTACTTTTTACGTCAAATTTGTCTGATGTAGATTTTTCGTATATTTATTTCGTAAGGAAATCAATTCTATTTAAT